AGTAGATTATATATATATATATATATATATATTACACACACATATACACACACACACAATCAAAAAGACACACTTGCCCCTACTTTGATCATTGTGCGTTTTAAAAAAAGATTTGTTTCTATAGATAAATAGAATATATTTTATTCTATCATTTAGTCTTTTTTACAATGACACAGCACGATGGTTCTGGTAAGGCATATCAAAGTTACCCTCTTCAATGAAATGAGCAAGGGTTGTGTGCTAATGTACTGTTGTTTCATTCAATTAGAAAAGTGGATTATAATGGGGAACGTTACACTGTATTGTTCTCTATTATAATCTATTTCTCTGATTAAATGATTACATACAGGGCTTCTGTTCTATCAAAGTTTGTGACTACGTTAGAATGTGTGACCGGTCACATTGTCGCACATTTTAACGTAATCCAGCCCATTTTTTTGGCGGTGGAATGTGTGACTGCCATTGGGTCAAGCATTCCAACGCTTTCTCAGCAGTTCCAGGGCAGATCAGCATTGCAAATCGTATGTGCAGGAGAAACGGTCTGCCCTGGAACAGCTGATCGGTCCTGAAATGTCGAAAGCGTTGGAATGCTTCACCTATTGGCGGTCACACATTCCACTGCCAAAAAACTGGGCTGGACTTTATTGCTGGAATTTGTAGTCCTTCATAGCTGGTGGTATTCTGCATTGTTGTATATTGTATTGTTAGGTTTTAAAGTCCTCTATACAGTGGCAGAACTACAGGGTAAAATAGTTGCAGCTGTGACTGGGCCCTAGCTTTGCATTCTGTCACTTGGGGGGCCCAGACATTAATCCAAGCACTTCTGGCCCTGAGTCTAACCCATCTGTCTACATACACATACCTTTTTATTGAATATATATATATATATATATACACAATCATTGCATATCGCATTACTCTCGTATTTGTAATCTTATTTATATATACTTTAGTTTTTTTCAGTGGTATGATTTAGTGGTGAAAATTATTAGTGACCCCCCAGTTTTGACTGTGGCATCTTATGTGCCCCCCCTATATATTGTTCCTAGAGTCGCCACTGCTGATGAAGGAACTGCATGTGGTTCTGAAACGTTGCATTTACCTGCGATACCACGTTTATCAAACATCAATAAAGACAGAGTGGATCCTGGTGTGCTGGGGACTATCCCATTTACATTCCCATAGACTATCTCCATTTACTCTGGACAACGCCATCTGCAGGTCACTACAGCACCCACTGGAATGTCTTGAAGTGGGATACCGGTCTGGGGCGCGATGGGATATTCCTCATGTCTCATAGAATAATGACTAGGACTCACCAGGGGGTTGTGCCAGTCGAAGCACTGGCTCTTAAAGTGCTCGGCGGCTGCGCGATAACAGGTGCGATCGTTAATATCCGCCTGATCGCCGAAAATCTCTTCCATCATCTCATCAGTTCCCGTCACAATCGAAACAATCTTCTTCACCGATTCTTGGACCAAGGCTTTGGCCTGGAGGGAGGAGGACAGGAAGGGAGAGGGATTGATACAAAAGCCGGTTACAATATAATGGGCTGATGTAAACACAAGAGGAGGTGAAAAATCAGAGGGGCTTAGGGGTACCACACTCTACTCCACTGTGCTTAAGAACCACAGCTTAGTCACAGATCCACCTCCTGGTTGCTAATTGGATAATTAGGGCACATCACTGCATTACATAGTTAAGGTCCCCACACACCTTACGATAATCGTACGATAATCGCGGGAAATCCCGCGATCGTACGATTATCGTAAGGTGTGTGGAAGCCGTGCGACCTCTACTACTGTAAGGTCGCAGGACTTTTAACTTAGGGACATGTTTCAAAACCCGCCGAGAATCGTACGATGTTCGGCGGGTGTGTAGCATGTTCGTACGATGAAAGCCGGACGGGCCGGTGTGCGCAAGCGCACACTGCCTATTAGGCATTGCGGTCATCGGGGGGCGCGGCTTGCGATCATCGCAAGTACGATCTGCCTGTCCAAGATAGGCAGATCGTAGGTTTTTTTTTAAGTACCTTACAACCATCGCAAGACAAAAGTCTTGCGATGGTTGTAAGGTGTGTGCCCAGCATTAGTCAGGTTGAAAAAAAAAACCCACAAGCCCATCGAGTTCAACCTTGAGGACATCGCCTTATTGCCAGCAAGTTTCCAGTGGTAGACTGGAGTGCAATGTTCAATGGAGGAACGCACAAGCCAATATAAAGACAGATTTAGGCATTTATATAGCTGGACATGAACTCATTGATGGGGCGAAGCTTTTTCCATATTTTTTCAGTTATTAACTGGATTACATGTTTTTTTAATTTAACTGCAGTTCAGCTATAAGATGGAAATTGCACAAACATTAAAATCTTCTACATTTGGTTTGTTTTTGCTGCCATTCTGCTGTTGATCTGTGTTTTAGCAATGACAGGGTAAGCTGCTCACCTCCTGGAGGGATTTTATCCGGGCCAGTATATCCCGGGCCTCAGTAATATCGTTGGTAGCCATGAACTTCCTCTTGAGAATGGCTATGGGCACGTCTGGGCTGGGGGTCAGGTCCAGACGGTGCACCGGCTCCAGTGTCATTCTAGGGGCCACCGTTTTAGCGCTGCCCTGGAACTGTCTCACCTTCATCCGAGAAATGGTCTGATGAGGCAAAAGCAGTGATACAGAATATGAATAACAAACTTTGAGTCTGTAGCGTTATGCTCTGACTCGCTAAGTGCCATTAGGAGAGAGAAAGAAAAAGAAAAAAAGAAAGAAAGACCATGCCATACATCTCTGCACATTATCCCATTTTACCCCTTTATTAATTCAGCAAAAACATTAAACTTCCCGTTTGAGGTGTCAGCACAGTGCCTCTGCTGCACCGAAATCCCAAGCAGCGTTGTCAGGCCAACCTGCTGGACTACAGAACTCGGACCATCCCCACCCCAATGCGTGCATTTCTTTCTTGCCCAAGAGTGCTGCTGCCTCGACTCCCAAGAGTCTGCCCTGACACTGTATGTAGGGAAAAGGTTCTTCGGAGATGTAGTTCTGGGGGTGTGCCTAGATAAGTAGGAATTGACCTCCCAGCAGCTGCTTCTGCAATAACTTTACAAGGCCAGTGATGATGTTCCAGGGAATAATAAAAGTTGTTTCTTGCTACAGGGATAAGGTAAAAGAAAAGCAAATAATGCCGAGATATGATCCAGAGAGGGAAGATTTGGGTGAGGACTTCACATACAAATTTACATCCCTGCTGAGATGAAATCAGCTAACCACATAGAGTCCATGATTTATAACCAGTCAGCAGAATTAAAACACTGGGAAAGAGGAGCTGTAATACACATTTGCCGTGCAGCACTACTAAGGAGGAAGCAGAGTCTGCATATGTAATGAACATTTTCTGCCATTTCATACAAATCTGTTTAAAAAGTACCCACAGCCGAGTATTGTACTGTGTTGGCCATCTGCAAAGTAGAAGCTTGGATTGGTATCAGCCCAAATCCAAAACTTCTACAAAGTATTCACAGAAACACTGCCATTACGACGACAATGTCATTCACAATGATGAACATTAAAACAAAACGTTGACAAAGGTGAATCTTGTAACAGATTGCTGCAGATGACATCGCACTGAAAGTTTCCCTGTCTATACAACTATGAACACTTCCATCACTCACCCGGTTTCCAAACTGCATGACGTGACTGGTATTGGTGTGCTGCTTGACCAGTTGGAACTGCTTGTGTAGGGTCTCCTTGGACAGATCCTCCTAGAAGACGAATGATAAATATTGATCGGGCATTGGCATGATTCGTTTATTGCATTACCATCTCTCCCAGAGGACCTAGGCGTGGGCAGACCAGCTACCGAACCAATAAGGTAAGGTAAGGAGAGAGGGAGAGAGAGAGTGCGCAAGAACTCCCCCCAACACGTGCACTAAGCTAGCAGCCAGGACTACCACTGAAGGGACCCCGAGGGGGCAGCTCAGCCAGCCTGAACCCTCCAAGTGGACATATCAGCAGGGAATGGCAATTGCAGGAAAGCTCAATGCGCCACTGGGGATGGTTGTTTCCCCCCAGGTGGAGAAGACACCTTTGAGCAAAGTTAAAGTGATATTAAAGGATAATCCCTCCCCCCCTCCCCCATGTTAGCATAATGACTTACCTTAATCCGATGATCTTTACTGTCCTTTTCAGCTGTCGCTCCAGCTCTGGGTGCGGGTCTCCGATCCAGTGCTTACTCCTCTGTCCTCCTCTTCTCTCATGTCCCACGGAGTCTGTGCGGGTGCACGTTGCTCCATAGACTTACCTTGCGTCTCTCCTCGTCTCCCGGCCGAACATCTGTGCGCATGCGCCCGCCCCAAGATCCTTTGCGGCCGCCCGAGGCTCTTCAGATGTTCGGATGGGAGCGCGCGGCAAAGACACGGGTAAGTTTAAACCGGTTTGAAAAGGTTTCTTTTTTTCATGTTTTTGCATCCATCTACTGCTTGCTAGCTGTAGATATATGCAACAACACGCTGGAGGGTTTAACCCTTTGAGGCTGAAATACCTAAGCGCTGGGAACCCCAGAAGCAGGATTGTAAGGATAGCCCATCACACTCCTGACCAACATGCCCCATATATCTCCTCGGTGGGAGCTGTAGTGACCAGTGGATGGTGCCGCTTGCATAAAAGTGAGTCACTGGCACACTATCCTCTTCATCATCATGAAAATGCCATTGACGTTCTGCAATCATGGCATCATAGCAGCAAGAAGCAATATTTCGGACCACGCAGGGTCCCTTCATCAGGCAATGTGACGAAGATGACGGTGTGCTGGTGACTTTCTACCCCAGATGAAATAACAGACATGTCACCAGCACACCAGTCAAGGAGTTTCAGCAAAAGTCCATTTTAATGACCATTTTGAATTGCATTTTGCATTTGCTGAAACTCCTTGACTGGTGTGCTGGTGACATCTGTTTATTCGCATGCTATTCATGGTGCCACCCGTGGTCACTACAATCACCCGCCTCTACATACAGGACATCTATTCATCCGGTAAGGAGTGCAGCAGGATACTTTCTCCTTGTTCTACCCCAAAAATGGCACAAAAGCATCTATCCTGGCAAAAAGTCCAGCAATGCAACCCACCAGGGGCCCTTTCCCAGATAACTAAGGGGAGCATATACTGGAAGAGGGGGCTGCAATGAGATGTGCATCTACACTTTTACAATGGTGGATGATGCCGTTCCTGTTTTAGGTGGGCGGAGCCTCTCTCATATACTGCCCTGGAAAACGATCGGGTCGATTTGAGCCGTTACCTCATTGCAACCGTTTTAAACATGAGGGCTGCAAGCAGATTGGCAGCCGTGGAACAACTTGTGGGGTTTTTATTCCAGATGCTTAGTGAGCTGGGTGGGTACTCTGGGGCGTTAAAAAGGTGTTCACAGCAAAACTCACCACGTCAGAGTCCTCCATCCAGCTGACGCTGTAAAGATCGCCGAGGTATGTGTCTCGCTTTTCATCGTAATAACAGGCGTAAGAGGACTCATGAGAATTGGCTGCTGTGGTTGCGTAAGCTGAAAAAAAATGATACACAAAAGATATACATAATATAATAATGATCCGTGCCGGTGAAAGAATTTCAGACATGTAGCAGTTAAAGAAATTGTAGTGCTGAATACAGTGTGAGTGCGGCCAATTTCTATAGTTCTAGCTGGTAAGCATGCAGTGAATGGTCTTTATTACAGGAGGGGAGGAGACACGACCAGTCACCCTGCACAAGGAGAGAGAGCAGCAGTGAGCGGTCTTTATTACAGGAGGAGGCGGTGACAAGACCAGTCACCCTGCACAAGAAAGAGCAGCAGTGAGCGGTCTTTATTACAGGAGGAGGCGGTGACAAGACCAGTCACCCTGCACAAGAAAGAGCAGCAGTGAGCGGTCTTTATTACCCCAAACGAAAAAAATCCCGTTTATCCCAAACGAAAACAAAATTATGCAGTTTTGCCTTTAGATGTACTTTAAATGAGAACTATGGGGTTAGGGCTTTTCCCCATAGTTCTCCTTAGGGTAACGGGAGGACACAAACTAGCGAGTAGGCATGCAGGGGAATCCAGCCCCTCCCCTGTCACTGCAGAGAGCCGTGACAGGATCGTCTGGGAAGGCGTCGGCCTGTTGAACTTCCCGCCCTTCTCAGAAGAAAAGAAAAAAAATCAATAAAAAAGATCATGCACTGTGATGCGTTCTAACAACGCACTGCAGCGCATGTGCATGGTGTGCACCACAATATGTGTGTGTTATGTGGGGGGAGGGAGGGGTTGTGCTTTTTTTCCACACATTTTTTATTTTTTTTAAATAAAAAATGTAAAACAGAATAAAATGTTATTAATTTAAAGGGGACAGTCTGCTGAACAGTTATACTATAAGCTGATGGTCGCTAAAGCGACCATCAGCTTATAGTAGAACTGTAAATGCCAGGTCCGTATGGCATACTGAGCTGGCCAGCTGGAAGCACTTTTGTAGGTCCGTATGCCATACGTCCTTGGCAGAGAAAGGGTTAAAGGAATCTGCAACAACATCTGCTGTAGTCCTTACAATGTATAGAGGCGAGTTCACTCTTACGGCTTTGCTTCAAGGAGAGAAAAAAAAAAAACATTCACAAATCCTCATCAAACTTACCATTGATGTTGTTGGGTAGATGATTCATCATAGAGCCCGATTCACAGGCCTCAATGTACAGAACCATCTGGAAGAGAAATATCTCTGTGTCACTGGAACAGGTTCTGCTACATCATACATAACAAAATATTACACCGTGTACCACTAAAACCGGGGAAGTAAATCATAGAAGGGAACTCCCCGTAACAGTAGAATACGACTGATGGGGCACTGTACCTTTTTGTACTTCTTGTTGTCATACATGTACTGAATGGTCTTGTTCAGGTCTTCGACGTGGAGCTGCAATAGAATACATCAAAGATTAGATCTCCCACTGCAGATATACAGCTCAGGAGAGCCTAGGCACCCCCTACATACTAGGAAGGGCCAGGGGTGTATCTACCGCAAGGCAAACTAGGCATGTGCCTAGGGCGGCACTTTCCAGGGGGGGCGGCAGAAAATGCTGCCCCAAACCAATGAGGCGGACAGGGCTTTGGGCATACTGGGCACTTGCCCAGTGGGCCGAGGCTGGGCGGCACAGAATCTGGCAGCGGCGGCTGCCTAATGAGGCAAGCCAGGCAAACTAGGCCGCCGCAGGGCCCTAAGAGTGGCTGCCTATTTAAAAAGCTGCCCAGAGGAGGGGAGGTGAGTTGGGGTCCGGCTGGCTTTGTACAGGAGGTGGAGGAGAAGCAGCGAGTGGCTTGGGGCTGGCTATACCATGTGATCTGATGGTGGGATGTCCCAGAAGCAGGCTGGGGACTGCTATATATCCTGTTGGCACTGATGGCACTTCGAGCTGCAGGTAAGAGGAGCAGAACATCTATGCAGGGAAAGGGAGACCCTGCATGTCCTAAACAGGATGGGTTGGGGCAAATTTAGATTGAGGGGGTGCCCAAGTTTAGTCTTGCCTAGGGCAGCACAAAACCATAATACACCACTGGGAAGGGCACTGCTATTTCTCAGCAGGAAGTCCAGACAAAAGGTGATTTTTAGGGCACAATTAACATTTATAGATGTTCCCTTTAACACAGCAAATCTTCATTTTTTTGGGAGCGATGGTCCCCTTTAGGACTCATTCACACTGTCATCGGCCGGCATGTACAGCTCTGTGCACGGCCACATCGGGCAGCTCCCGGGAAGGACAGGTGCTGCGTGTGATTAGTAAGCAGCCCCCCGTCCGTCTCTATGGGACTATGCGGCCGTACGCCCCCCTACGCTCTCCCTTCCATGCGTGGGGAGCGTACTCATACGCTGGCAGGATGGATCCTGTCTGTGTCCGAGCCAGGAAACAAGCACCCGTACGGCCACGTAGTCCCATAGAGAAGGACGGGAGCTGTGTACTAATCACACGCAGCATCTGTCCTTCCCGGGAGCTGCCCGATACGGCCGTGCATGCAGCGCGGAGCTGTATGTGCCGGCCGATTGTCGTGTGAATGAGGCCTTAATTGCTGGATTGGAGAATTAGCAATATAAGCCGACACGAAACGGTTATGAAAGCCAGGCGGCTGGGTCTAATAACGGAAAAAAAGTGACTTCCTTTGCGTAGACATGAAAGAACGGAATTCAGGGTGGTGAAGCGGTACGAGCAGCTGTGGCTGCGGAAGGGAGGTGATGGTGGTGAGGAAGGGGGAGGGAATGTGTCAGGTGGTGCTTACGTCATCATTGGGAAAGGCCAGAATACCCGGGGCTCCGTGATCGGTAAAGTAGACGAACACGTGGTCGTTGGGCCCACTGCAAGAGAAGAGAGAGACTGTTACTTATATTATTATGAAGTGACTTCATACTCAGTACTGGAAAGCTGTGCAGAGTCCCTCCTGACTGTCCAATTCATCAAAGCATCTTCTGCTCCAGATTTATATCCAGAAATAAAAAAAGTCTCAGTGCAAAATAAAAAAATAAAAAAAAAAGAGCCAAATGTACTCATTTTTCTTGCAATATGTGCACTTTTTCCTGTGTTTTATGCGTTTAAAAAATGCTGTGAGCAAATAAAAATAAGCTGCCGTTTTGCTAGAAGTCCAGTGAGCTCCCGACTTCCTGTTTCAGGAGAAAGTCAGGAGCGCTTCATGCACTGAAATTCCAAGCAATGTTTTCAGCAATGCGTGCTGGACCACAGGATTCTACCTATCCCTGCCCCCCGCTGTCTTTCATTACATGCACATCGTAATAACTTTGCAAGACACTTCTGCTGCTGCTTTGACTGTGAACAGCATGTGTTGGAAAAGTGCTCTTAGGAGATGTAGTTCTGGGGGTGTGCCAATGTAATTAAGGACTAACCTCCCTACAGCTGGCTCTGCAAAAATTAGTTAAATTTGGTTATTAGGGATGCACAGATACTGTTTTTTTTGGTATCAAGTACAGATATTTTTTTTTTTATGGTACTCGCCGATACAAACTACCGATAGCAGTGCCGTGTGCCCAGATCATCAGGAAGCCGGGTGGCAGATCATGACCCCGCCACCCGGCTTCCTGATTGGTCAGGAAGGCAGGCAGCACAGGGAAATGCAATCAGGAAGCCGGGTGGTGGACATTCAATTGCTGAGGTATGAATGCTTTTCTTAGATGGGCGACAGGTTTAGTTGCACATAGCAGAAGCCAGTAATCCATCTTCAAATCCCAACAGCAACCTATGTGTGACCCAAATTTGAGGAATAATAACCGACAAACCTGTTAATCACCTTCCCGGATCCTTTTCCCTTCACGGCCTCTGAGTCACCTCTCAGAACCGCCAAGAAGTTCTCAGGAGTGACAAACTAGGAAAAAAAAACCACACAACAGCCGCACCATCAGCAATGTATGATAAGAGGTTAGAAGTCATTTAATTTGAATTCCTATAGTGATCAAACCGGTTTTCTGAGCTAGACCGGTAAAATCTAAGTAGCACTATGATGGCTGGTTGAGCAAAACACCTCCAGCATTGTGCAAGCCTCTACACCACCTCCCCCAGGATCCATAAGAGAGCTGTGGTTGATTCCAAATTCTAGCTAAGGGAGCAGCTTTGGGTCTGGTGCATTGGCTCTCCACTAAGATTGCCACTTTGGGAACAGAACGGGCACTGGTGCAAATAGCCTCCCTTCTAAAGAGTGCCTGTGCTCCCACAGAGAATAATATGCTGCAAATATGGAGGCTTTTTTTGCAATATGCGTTCCTTTTTAACATGCCATTGAACCTGGGTAGGAATTGCGGCTAAGGGCACATGCCGCAGGCAAGGTGCCTTCAAGTGCAGTGTCACACTTGTGGATGTTGTAGCTGATATATTAATATATTCATAAAGGACCTCTATGTATAAGCCTACGGGTGAAACATGTGAGAGGTTGTAGCTGGTTGGGGGTGTGCAGTGCTGGTATTTGCTGCTTTATACACTTTTATTCAAAGTTACACTGGATTTGCTGTGAATTTCAATAAAGTCTGAAGTATTGGATATCTCTGGATAGTGCGGTCTGTTCGTAGACTACTACAGTCCAAGGTGGAGACGCACCTATTAGACCAGCACCTGGGGAGTCCTGATGGCGGCTAAGGAATTGGAGCGGGGAGATTTCCTTTGGTTCTACATATGTAAAAGCTTTGATATAAAAGTGTACCTTAATATCCTGAACAAGCAGCATGTGACTTTGTGATCGGCAAATGAGGATCATCAAAGTGCTTTTGGGGGCAGGGACACTGAAGGATGAAGATCTGCTGGAGGGTCTCATCTCCTGGGACGAGCCAGACCCCCTGCTGGTATTTACTGCCCACATGTGTGTCGGCAATGCAGCATACATGATGGGATGAGGGCAGGGGCATACGATGGAACCTTCTTCCTATGTGAACAACTGCGCAAACTTAGCTCCCACGAAGGAGCTATGGTAACCTTTGTGAGCTCTTGGACAAGGCAATCTGGACTCTACAATCAAGAATGTGATTCGCTGAGACCTGCTTCAGGAGGAGGGTTCTGAGCACAGAGAAACGGCCATGGCATGTGTGATTGAGAATGATGATGCTAGTTGAAGGAGCCTAACCTCAATTCCTATCCCTACTAACCCCCTTCAAATCCTCTCTCCATTTCCCCTAATTGTAATTAGAATGTATGTATATCTCGGTTTGTAAATAAACCCAACACTTATTTAAGACTCAATTGTCCATCATAAGGCCCCCCAAAGCAGAGCACATTCTACATTTGGCACCCCAGATGCGAGTCTCACCTCCTTTGTGTAATCCTTCAGGACTCCAGCATATACGTCTGTGCCATTGGGACGGTTTATAATGATTCCTTTGGTTGGATTCCTGAACACAAAAAAAAATAAAACATTGTATTAATTATATTTATATTACTGGCACGCTGCTCACAAGCCAAACCATTCAAAATGAAGAGAAGGGCTTCTTTAGACCTCAAGTGTAGTTGTAATTTTGTTCAAATGTCTCCCAAAAACTTCAATGGTGGTAGCAACATTAGCGATAAACTGTTTAAAATTAACTCCATTACAAAAACTAGAGGCCACCACCTAAAATTCCAGCACAAGGGGCGAAGGGGGTTCTTCACAGTTAGAGCGGGTAAGGTCTGGAACTCACTGCCACAGGCGGCGATTTCAGCAAATAATGTGGAATTGTTCAAGAAACTTTTGGACGATTTCTTAAGGGACCGTAATATACAGGGGTACAGGTACTCTTAGAATGAGATCCTAATGGGTTGGACTTGATGGACTAATGTCTTTATTCAACCTCAATTACTATGTAACTATGTAACTTACCACAAAGCCATTTTGTAATTTGACCCCAATAATGAACTCTTCCGTTTTGCTCGCTTTTGGTCTGTTAAATATGTTACTGAAAGTTTTATTCCTGAAGTGCAAAATACCAACTGTTGCTCCTGCCAAAAATCCAGTGCTAACTGGTGAAAGATGATGGCACTGGCCCCTGGGTCAAATCTGGCTCCCACGGTGTTCCACTTCAGATTGAAACCATTAAAACAAAGACTGGAGCACCAAAACCAGCTGCCATCGATCTTGCCTGCACACACTGCAGGAGGATATACCCTCCTATATTGACATGGATCTCTAAATGATCTAGATCAGAGGTGTGCAGGTGCAGCAATCGGGGTGAATCCCGATTGGACTACAATCTCATGTTTAGTTTACTAATTTGTATTGAGATTGTAGTCCATCCCGGGAGTGAGCTTGGAGCGGAGACTACTTTACAACACACACAGTGACCATGGGGAACAGACGTAGCCCCCCTCCAGAAGGAAGGACAGTGCCAGCACCAATTCAGAGATGATTGGAGGATCTACAGCCGAGTGATACACAAATAAAATAAGTTTTTGGTAGAAGTGAAGACGCTTGAATGCATTTTTAAGGTTTAACGTCTGAATTTTTTAGCTCCCTGAAGTTCCCTAGGTTTTGCAGCTTCATATACACAACACTTACTCTTCATTATCTGCGATATCGTCGTACATCATCACCACGATCTGCTCATCGGGGATGCCGTTTTTCTTGACGATTTGATAAGCGTGGCACACGTCAGCCTGGAAACACAATGACAGAAGCAAAATGTTATGTCAGTGGAATGGCATTCATCTCTAGAAATCCCGAACAGACTGGAGACATCGAGACAGCATTGTAATGTCCCCATTGGAAGATTATGCTTTACTCCTAAGCTGGTGACAACTTAAAACTTGAAATGTAGCCCACTTTAAGAAAAAAAAAGTTTAGTTAAAATTGAACAACAAAACATTACAAAATAGAAGTTTCATCATGCTTGCATTGAGCACGATACATGCGTGTTCCTTTTTATAAACTCTCTACCCTGCAAGTGGAACGCTCAGTTCTGGTAAGTAAACAGCCACTCAACAAAAATCTTCCATTCCAAAGAACGTCTGTGAGTGGGATGAGGGACAAAACCCGGACAGATTCCTAGTCGTAGTGCACCTTGTCCCAGGTCTAGGTCTAGGACATCTTGCATGCTTCTTTCCACCTAAACTCTGCGTCATCATCTCAAGTGATCAGCACCGTAACACACCCAATTGTGTTCCTGCTATAAATACACTTGTTGGCTCTTGGGAGGACCACTCAGCCCCATCTACATTACCAGCTTATCACGCTGTTCAAACAGCCCTCATTTCAAGGATAATGGTCTGAAAGTACTCATTGCAACCTCAAAAAGAAACATATATTACATTTCCATGCTTCCTTATCTGGTGTGACAAAGAATCTCCGGGAATCAAAGGCAGCAAAAAGTGATCAGGGAACTCTTGGCAAAATTCAAGACTCTACAAAGTAAACCCATCAGTGGATCTGAATTTATTAAACTGCTTCCTGGGGGTTATAGTAGGCACCTACACATAAGTGGGTACTCAAATGAGAGGGATATGGAGTGCTCCATCATGTGAATACAGATTTCATCCCTGGAGAAGGAACTTCAGCTGGCCATACATAGCAGATGTGGGCTGTGTGGATGAATCTCCCGCTGTGACTTTTGCATTACAACAGCAGGCGCCCGCCGCTGTCAGAATACATGAACAGAATCAGGAGCCAGCCAAAATTTGCTCTGTGTACGGACAGCTTTACTCTGCGAACTGCAGATGTAGAACAAAAGTCAGTGAGTGGCCCTGGCAGCCTGGAAATAAAAGTCAACTGGGTAATCAACATTTGTCAAGCCGCCAGGGCCACTCAATGTCAGTGTGGAGCAGCAGATGCAGAACAAAAGCCATCAATACTCAAAGGAAATGTGCAAATGTAGCGAACACACAAAGCAAATTTTGGTCAGCTCTTCCTGAAACGGCTCAAATTCGCTCAGTGGGTGGCCCTGTCAGCGGCCTCCTCCCTGCCATCCTTTGATCTGGAAATCAAAAGAGGGAGATGAAAATTGCTGGCCGAATAGTGACTGCAGCCAGGGCCGGTGCTAGGATTTTTGCCTACACAGGCGAAGGTGCATTTTTGTGCCC